AATAGGTTTCCACCCACTTTCAGGTTCAAGAAAATTATACAGCTGACTGCAGCAGCTACGGCCTATTGTAGTGCATCTTAATCAATCACTTTGTTACAAAAAACAAATCAAAGATATAAAAACTAAATAGCATAATAGCAAAGTGCAGAATCATCAATCACTCATTGATAATTCATTATTTATAAAACCTAGAGTTCACTTCCTTTTGAAAAAAAAATCATGGGATACCTGTTTACATTGATAGATAGAACAGAGACGAACCAAAAAATTTAACCTTGATGTCATCTTTAGTGAAATCTGTAAAAATTCCAACTTACATTTGAAATTGACGAACCAAAATGGCAGGAGGAAGTAGTCACTAGTACTAAACCATAGATTGCGTTGACAGAAAGAAGAGAGACGAAACAAAATGGGAAGTAACAGAAAAATTAATACATTAATTTGATCAGACTTTACCATGGTTCATAGATTAGGGCTTTTTATAGAGAGAATGAAAGAGGAAAATAAGGAACCGATGTGGTGGAAACAGACAAATTGAGTAGATTACAAATACCCATAAAGAGAAGCTAATGAATACGTGAAATTAAAAGCCAGTGGTATACATAACTTCGTAGATGGCATGCCTACTGTTTCCTTGATCGACGTTGACGACCGGGAAGGGCAAGTAACAATGGTCGAAGTGCGAGGGAAGAAGTCGGTGGCAGTCAATTTCGGGAGGAGGGAAGGAAGGAGCGTCGATAATTAGGGCAAGAGGGAAACTAAAGTGGACGAGAAAAAAGGAAGGCAGACATTTTAATATTTTAGGATTTCATTTCCCCCCCTAGAAGGATGGAACGCGCGTTTCTATTAAAATTTATAAAGCGACATCCTTAGATGATGCACGTTTTATTATAGGTGCCCACCGTGTTTTTTTTTTCTCAGACACTAATTTCATGGCACGCAAAAATGTGTGTTTTAAATCCTTTAAATTTTAAGAGAGATGTCATTATTTTTGGGGCAGCCACAAATGCGCGTCCTCTATCAGTGAGTGTCATTGTTTGCGCGTCATTAAAGGGCTTTTTTCTAGTAGTGTTTCAGCTTACACATAGATATGAAGTATATTATATAAATTACGTGCTGTGTGTGCATATTATCTGCATACTTGCTATCTATGCTGGATGAATGATTTTATACAAAATATGTTGGGTAAAACATGGGTAGATGTAATAGTTGTTGTGCGACAAAATAAAATAATGAGAGGCCTCGTTATAGATATTATTGATGATCCAGTCATCTAGCGGAGTATAGATGACGACTACGGACTATTCTTGACAGTCAAGAGGAACACTAGCAGGCTCGCAACCTGAAGGTGTTTATTCGAACTGTGTGTTTATTTGAACTGTGTGCTCACCAGGTGTACTCCATCCCCCACATGGTTTCCTTTAGGACATTTATTGCTGAGGAATCCCTTAGCTAATCCATCCCGATTATAGTCCCTAGACTAGGTCCCTTGTGTTAGATGTTTTAGGGACGTAAAGTGAGGATAACGGGAACAGGTAATTGTGTTGTTTGGTTTGATAAAGTTAATAAACTTATTTACTGTGGGTTGAAAACCCTATGTGCTCACTAGGCTCCCAAGCCTGACCCACTCAGTTTCTTGTATTACAGGTAGTGGCGCATGAGCATAGATGTGATGTTTTGGATGAGGGATTACGGATATAGGCCTGTAGATGTGAAATAATTTAGTTAGGCTTTATATTGTATTGTTTATGCTTTTGATCTGTACGAACATGACATCCCGAGTCTTTTAATGAAATGCATTTCTATGGAAATGCTTTTGATAAATCTTTATCATATTTTGTTTTGGGACAAATTCCGCAACACTTTTATTTAAACTGTTACTCTAATTTTCAAACAAAGAATAAACAAAATCGGTCTTTTCTGGCCATGAAAATGGAGATGTCACAGTAAGGACCCAGTCCTTAGTCCTTCACATGTAATTAAGAATGTTCTTAAGTGAAGTCCAATGAGCTTTACCAGGATTCCCTTGATATTTGCTGACCATGCTCAAAGTAAAGGACACATCAGGGTGAGTACAAGTCATAGCATACATGATCGAACCAACTGCAGAAGCATATGGTATATGACTCATTTCTACTATCACAGCCTCTGTACTCGGACTTTGAGTCTTACTCAATTTCGTATTGCTTTGGATAGGTAAGTCACCTTTCTTGGACTCTTCCATGCCGAAGCGTTTCAACACTTTGCCCAAGTAGGTAGTTTGACTAAGTCCTCTTAGTCTTTTACTTTTGTTTCTCAATATCCTTATCCCTAGGATATAGGCAACTTCTCCGAGGTCCTTCATAGAGAAACACTTCCCAAGCCAGGACTTAACCTCTTGCAAGGTAGGGATGTCATTTCCTATGAGTAGTATGTCATCTACATACAATACCAGAAAGGTCACTATACTCCAACTAGCTTTGACATATACACAAGACTCATCCTCGCTTCTAGAAAATCAAAACTCTGTCTTTCTCATCAAAACAAAGATTCCATCTGCGAGATGCTTGTTTCGATCAATAAATGGATTTCTCAAGCTTACACACTCAATTATGGTACTCTGCACTGAGAAAACCCTCTGGCTGACTCATGTAAACATCTTCAACCAAATTTCCATTAAGGAAAGCAGTTTTGACATCCGTTTTCCATATCTCATAGTCATGAAATGCAGTTATGGCCAACATAACCCTTATAGATTTAATCTTCGCTACTGGTGAGAAGGTCTCATCATAGTCAACTCCCAGAGTTTGATTAAAGCCCTTCACAACCAGTCGCACCTTATATGTGTGTACTTTCCCATCCATGTTAGTATTCTTCTTTAAGATCCATTTGTACCCAACTGTCTTTCGACCTGGTACATTGTCAACCTAGTTCCAAGCTTGATTGTCATACATGAATTGAATTTCGCTATCCATAGCCTCTTTCCATTTTGCAGACTCGAGGCTTGCCATGGATTCCTTGTAGTTATTAGGTTCATCCATATTTATCAATGTGCTATCACTGATAAATGTATCACCTTTTGCAGCAATATGGAAACCATAAAACTCAGGTGGATGTCTAACTCTACTGGAATGTCTTAGAGGTATGAACTTGTCAATTGGCTCAGCCGCAGTTTCCTCCTCAGATTCATTGCTAGTGTTTGAGGTTCCTTCACCGCTTGACTCGTGAAGCTCTTCAAGGTCAATTTGCCTCCCACTGTCCCCTTGGCATATGATTTATCTCTCATGAAAGACTCTTATCCTCGCGACAAATACAACATTGTCACTCGGTCTATAAAAGAGATATCCAAAGGGCTTTTGCAGGTAGCTGATGAAAAGATATCGCTTACTCCGAGGTTTGAGCTTGTCGTGAGTCTCATGTCTCATGAAAGCCTCGCAACCCCAAACTTTGATGTGGTCTAACGAGGGAACCTTCCCCGTCCACATCTCGTGAGGTGTTTTGGAAACCTTTTTGGCAGGGACTAGATTAAGGATATGGACGATAGTCTCTAAGGCATACCCCCATAATGATATAGGTAACGAAGCTCGAGTCATGATGGAACGAACCATGTCTAGAAAGGTTCTATTATGCCTCTTAACCACACCATTAAGTTGTGGTGTACTAGGTGTCATCAATTGTGAAACAATTCCACATTCCTTAAGATAGTGAAGGAGCTCGATATAAAGATACTCTCCTCCTCGATAGGATCGTAGCATCTTTATCTTCCTGCCCAATTGATTCTCCACTTCTTGCTTAAACTCTGAACTTTTCAAAGGTTTCTGACTTATGCTTGATTAAGTAGATATATCCATACTTATTGTAATCATCAATAAAGGTTACATAAAAGCGATTAGCATCCCTTGTGGTGATTTTGAATGGTCCACACACATCATAGTGTATGAGATCCAACATAAATTCACCCCTTTCACAAGTACCAGTGAAGCGTCACTTGGTTATCTTTCCAAGTAAACAAGATTCGCAAGTGTCACCTGACATTAAGTCTAATGTCTCCAAAACTACATCCATTTGGAGTTAGGCTATGTGCTTCATTTTGACATGTCAAAGACGACAATGCCATAAGCATGCTTTATCCAAATCATTGGAAGGATCAACGTGTAACACATTATTTCCTAGGTTATCTACAACATTCACAGTTTCATATACACCATTGCAAGGTAATGCTTCAAAATAAAATACACCATTGTAATAAGCATTAATACCACCAATTTCATTATTAAAAGAAAGGCTAAAACCTTGATTGTACAAACCGTGAAAGAAATAACATTTCTCGACATATCGTCCAAGTAACAACAATTATTCAAATCTAAATCTAAACGATTACTAAGCAATAAAGAATAAACTTCAATCTTGGTCACATGCGGCATTTTCCTATTTCCCATGATTAAGTTTATCTTCCCATGCTCTACATCCCTACTTCTTTTTAGTCCCTACAAATAAGAACAATTGTGAAATCCACAACCTGTATCAAGGACC